AACAAAACACCTGATTTACGATTTGTGACGTACACGCAGTCCAATTATTATCATTTAAGTAGATAATTAAAATTAATTTAAGGATTAGTCATTACTGAATAGCACGGAACGACGATGGCCGGCCACGGTCGGCCGCCATTATGAGCCAAATAAAATAAATGTGTTAATAAAGTTGTTGATAAAAAAATATTTACTGAGTGAATAAAAAATATAACATACTAGCTTTTCCTGTTACTCCGTCCGCGTGTATGTCAGTAATCGCGGTAAAGAGCCCGTCAAAAAAAAAATAGCCTATATCTTTCCCCATAACTCAAACTATCTCCATACCACATTTCATCTAAATCGGCTCAGCGGTTTAAGCGTAAAGAGGTAACAGACATATAGACACACTTTTGCATTTATGATATTAGTATGGATAATTTAGCCTTTACCTAGTTCTTCTACTTAAGTACCTCACCTCAATTATCCTGGCCTTGTTTGTTAAAACACTAAGGTTAACACTCAGTTACTTTAAAGATCTTGGTAATTATCAGAATTCTTTTCGAGAACAGTTTTTTTTGTCTAGTCTAACATACATATATAGTATATAAGCTATTCCGCGCGACTTCCGTCTGATTCCATTATGGTACTACTGGGATTTTTTTTCTTCCAGTGGTTCCATGCAACAAGGCTTCGCCATCGTCATCATTTCTTATTTCATGTTTAATCTAATAGATAAATAAAAATAATGTCATCATCATCAATCATCAACAGCCTTGAATAATCCACTGCTGGATATAGGCCTCTCCTTAGAAAGGAGGTTTTGGCCTACAATACCACGCTGGCCAGACGGGTTGGTATAGGGTTTGTGTCAAGTTTTCCTTCTCTTTGCCGCTGTTGTCCTGCGTAGTTTGTCCCCTTAGTCGGCTTTTACGACACCCAGGGGATGAATAGGGGTGGTGACACTCCGTATTCTTAATCCGTCACCACACGGACTAATTTGTTGTCCTTCATCATCATCATCATCAGCCTATCGCAGTCTACTGCTGGACATAGGCCTCTCCCATAAAAATAATTTGATTGATTTAAATTACATTCTAATTGATTATAATTGTAGTTTTGAATAGTTAGTGTTAAGAAATAACCTGAAGATCATATTATCTAAAATCACCAAGAAAATACAACACTTAACCTAACAACATACAAACACGTGGTTGAGCAATGCGTGAAGTCCGTAACGGTACCCCACAGAACAACCAACACCGTCAAGGTAGTCCCATGACCTACCCCTGTTTAGGGGTGGCGGTAGACACCGCTGGCAGGGGGCAAAAGCCCCGATCCAGCCATCACACGTGCCCTGCGGGACGGTGTGAAGATTAACGTACTCGGTCATTCTCGCTCGAGCCGTCGGGCTGTACGGATCTATGTACAACTGTTAGTACTCGTAAGACCTTGGAATACATCTTTAATTGTATTTACTGTTGTCTTTATTTACTACCGTCGGACCGTACGGATCCATGTACTTCTCTTAGTAAGAACTTTTAATACATGTTTAATTGTATTTACTGTTGTTGTTATTTACTACACAGCTTAACGGAATAAAAAAAAATCAAGTGAGATCTACTACGACTCCGAAAGAACCAAACAGACGATAAAAAAACATCCCTTCAATCAATTATTGTTTTTTTACTTGTATATCTTTCGTAGGAGATCCTAATAAATAAATAAATAAATTACCTACGAGCGTTTAGATACGAGTATAATATAACAGTTGATTACGATAAATCGGTCGATTTTGGAATAATGAGCATTATTTACTAATATTGCAATCCTTTGAGGTTTCGACTCGAACCGCCAGGATTATGTATGGGATACCACTACTGACGTGTCCTGTGACCTGAACCAAAACTCATTACTTTCAGGGCAAGAACCCCTATCAAAGCATTTCTTGAAGAATATTCAAAATTTCAGTAGTGCGTTTCAGATGACACCATTTGGTGCAAATATAATTACAGAACGTGGTTTCAATCTAACTTTTAAGGTATGTTTTTTGACTGTGTGACACACATTATACATATTCATTGCAACATAAACCGACATGTATGAAAATTGTATTTAGGCTCAGAAATGAAGATTTCTTTAAATATTTCTTTATGTTCAATGTTACAGATTCAAGGACAACATCACCACCATGCAGGAGCATTACAATGATTTACATTACATGATTACAAATTTCTTCAAATTTATTTCCTGGATAATTCTGAAGTTGAACTAACCCAAAATTGTACTCGCAATTGTTCAGGTAGGAGAGAGATTATCATGCAGCTGCAACAACTCTTACGTAAGCATAATCAGTTGCAGTGCGCCTTGCATTCGCATTGACTTTTAATGAATCACAGCGCCAATCGTGAGAAGCGTGTGGAATAAACCTTGAATTACCGTGTTTTTCGCATAGGCAGTTGTACGTTGCGTGCTCGAGAATCAGCAAACCATCGGCGCTATCTGTTTTCTCTCCAGAAAGAAAAGAGAAAAATATTGTGCATTATAAGGCGTTACAATAGGTTAAGGTCGAATTATTTATTTCTTTTATTTTATTTCATTAAATGTTCGTATTGTAAATTTTGTCTCATTTTTTATCGTTAAGCACTTACGTTTTTACACACACGTTTTTAGCGTTAACGAGTAACATTTTTTTTTATGTTAGAGGGGGCGAACGAACAGACGGTTCACCTGATGGAAAGTGACTAGCGCCGCCCATGAACGTCTGCAACTCAGGAGTCACAAATGCGTTGCCGGCCTTTTAGGAAGAAGTACGCTCTTATTTGTGTTACTTTTTAATTTGACGGGTTAATTATTTTCTAAAATCTAATCTTATGTGAATTTACCGGAAGTGTGACATTTCCTTAGTCCGTGACTGTACACCACTCGTGTGATCCTGAGGCAGAAATATATAGTTAAACGAGTCTTTCATGAATTTTGAAAGTATTTACGAAAACAAAAATATAGCGGAACGAAGTTCACCGGGTCAGCTAGTCTACTAATAAATAGGACTTTCGAACCTTCATAAAACGTGACACGCACTTGCGACTCTTGGATTGTAGGTGAGGTGATGTAGTACTCACTTGCGGTGCCTCAATTCTGCTATTTTAATATTTTATCAATAGACTGTCGATTGAATGTCCTCGGGACAGTTTTGCACTTTTCGTATTCTACTAACTATGTAAGACCAATGGTCTCCCAATGACTTGTCACTCATACAAAAGTCGTTGATGGCTTTGTAATAGTTTGGTAAATGATACATTCTATATTTGTAAGGGAGTGATTTATTTAATTTACTGGATATTGCATTGTTGTTGATAGGGCCATTGATGAGCCATTGTCACTACATTGACAGTCTATTGATACTGTCAATTAATGTTAGTAGAATACTGATATTTTGATCGATGTTAATGGCATCTCAATAGCATGAAATGGAACGACAGTGACTTTTACATTAACATAAAATAGCAGAATTGGCTTCTGTACCTGGAAGAAGGAAAGAGGACAAAACCTAGCAAATGCTTTTGTTTGGGCCGGAGAGGTACCAGATATATCTCATATGGAATGAAATTAAAAAGACCTTCGGAACTCTACAAACACCTAAGAGTTACCAAAATGCATGTCTTGTCAAAATAACAAGGCGAAAAAGAAATTCATGGTGGGTTTTGATGATTTTATTAAATTGTGCACTGTTTCATCATTTTTTTTTCATGTGGCAACAGCAATCCACTGAAAGTGATTACTTTAACATACAGATAAAAGAACAAGTATAGAATGTACTTGGGTGAGTACATCTATTGGTATAGCACAGGGTGGTAATAAGGGTGGTTGCCGCATAAATTAAAGGATTACAGAGCCCTATTTTCTGATTGTATGAATATATGGGTATGCAATGGTCACATATATTCGAAGATTGAATTCTAAACGATTTTCGGTAATGTATTCTAACGTATTCACGGTTTTTTTTAAATAAATGGTTTGCATAGAAAGTAAAATAGTGCTTTTAATTACCTATGTATTTACCATGTTCTTAAATTGGATGTTTATGTTATTGGGTGCAAACGAACAGGGCCTCATGATATGCCATTAACATTGGTCAAAATATCGGTATTCTACAAAAATTCAGTGTCAATAGAATGTCGACATCAATGGTGATATCAACAACATTGTCATATCTGGAAAATTAAATATATAATTTCGTTACAAATTTAAAACGTACCGTTTACCAAACTATTACAAAAACATGATTTGGGCATCCGATTTTTATTTCAGACACTTTTCTCGCGTTGTTTTTGTATCCCTGACAGCCTGTATACAAAATTACTAGATCATCTTTTTTATGGAAGAGGGAGCAAACGAGTAGACGGGTCACCTGATGGAAAGCGACTACCGCCGCCCATGAACGTCTGCAGTTCAGGAGTCACAAGCGCCTTGCCGTCCTTTGCCTCTTTCATCCGTGGGATAGCCATGCACCGGTACAGAAAGCCTGTGTTGAATAATTCTTTCATACATTTCACAGAGTTGAGAGGGAGGTATTAAAAAGCCGACAATGCATTTCTGACTCTGCATTTACAGGTGCTCACTGGCGGCTGTGGTCATTTCCTATCTATCAGGCAACCCGTTTGTTTGTTCAGCCCCTTTTTTCTTTTTTTCTTTTTTTTCCGTGCGGAAATCCCCTCGGATACCACCTGTCGGTGGCATGTCGGACTCGAACCGACTAAAACCACACGCCGTCTCGGGTACTAATAGCTGGGGAACCAGGTATACCCTAGAAAGGAAGTCCCTGGTATGTTTGTTCAGCCCCTATATCATAACACATTTGTTGTTAAGTTAGAACGTATAAGCACGTTTATTGCTTAAGTATATAAAAGAGAAATAAAAGACAGCCATAATATATCATTATTTAATATACCATACATACAAACGAACATACATTAGAAAAAAATAGACTGCGGCTATTTATTTTTTTTGATAAATGTTTTTTACACTAATACTGGTTGAAAGAAATGATCGAAGAAACCCCCGCCGGCGCCGCAAGAATCATCTCTCCAAGCGGAGAAGTCCATGCCGATGATGTGTTTGCAATCACACATCGGGTTCCTAAAAAACAAAACAATTTGCCCATATTGTAACTTTTTTATTTTGTGTTAGTAGATATTGTTATTGGAGTATGGCAATACTAAATATACTAGATAATATTGTTTATTCACTAGATAAATCAATAGGACATAACGCTTTTCGCCTGAACATGACGTAGTCTATCAATGTCCCTTTAAATTTGTAGCATAGCTATATTTATATATTTAATATAATATTATTTAATTTGAAGCTTTTATCTGTAAGTAGTTGCCTAAATAGTACGCTTATTAATATGTAGAATAGTAGACATAATATTTACGTATATTGATAGACAGACAGAACTATTTCTATTATGTATATATAATAATGTAAAATATGAAGAATGCAAAACCGGTTTGTGACGGCGAGCGGCCGAAGGCTTGCGCCCGCGCCGCGCGCCATTCGTATTAACAGTTCGACGCCAAATGTCTTCGCGCCCTTACCGATTGCATCCCTCATATCGCGTGTGTCATTCTTAAGTTTAACGTTGCCTAATAAAGTGTACCTAGTTCTATTAAATATTCTTTAATTCGTTTCTCCTTCTAATCTACTCTTGGGTCTGATTGTAACTTTCTCGTGTGTGGCTTTAATACATTTCCAATATAATACATATATATCTTATCACAAATACACTATTTATTGCTTTAAACCACTCATATTTGTAGAAGTCTCACAATTCTTGATAGCGTACTCAAAGTAAACATAATCGTTATGTCAAACTTGTTGCTAAATTCCATTTTATAAAATTCTAATATTAATTCTTAGTCTGTCGTTTAGTTAGGAACTGTTAGGAAGTCTGTCCAAAAATATTTGATTAATTGCTACTGGATTTGTTCAAGAATAAAAAAACATTTCTGGAAAATTACTTTCGAACACTCCTTATTTTATGTGTCTAATGACTCAAGCTTGTGTTAACTAAACAGTTTCAAAAGGAAAAGATTAGTTTTTATGGAAAACTAAAATTATAAACCAAATGTCATCACTCAACCAACTGCAGTTATTTATTCTATACTGATATTATAAATCTGAAGTGTTTATTTGTTCGTTTGTTTCGTTGAACGCGCTAATCTTAGAAACTACTGGTTCTAAACACATTGAAAAAAAAATTAATAACATCACGCTACGACCAATAGTAGCTAAGCATTAACGAAAAATGTTGCATACCAAGGAAAATTTATTTATTTTTACAGACGTAGACAAAGTTGTACGGGTCAGTTTAAAATAAGTATCAATACTAATGAAAATCAAGATAGTTAAGTGTAAAGAAAAGAGGTTGATTTTGCTTGCGAAGTCATCCACTGAGGCTCTTGCCAATAAAAATAGCAGTCTCCTTATTCTTGCTCAAATTGAGTAAGTAGACAGATACGTATTAAACGCCTCTTAGAACATTCTGCCATCTATCATGTTACTTCTATTTATCTACTAGGGGTCAAATATAGACTTGATCGCTATTCATTTTCATCATTATCAACAGCCTTTAATAGTCCACTGCTGGACATAGGCCTCTTCTAATAAACAAGGTTTTGGCATACCATACTACGCTGGCCAGACGTAATGGTATAGGGGTTGTGTCAAGTTTTCCTTCCCTTTGCAGTGGTGTTGTCCTTCGTAGTTTGCTCCCTTAGTCGGCTCTCACGACCCCCACGAAATGAATAGGGTTGGTGACATTGCGTATTCTTAATCTATCACCATACGGATGCAATAATATGAAGCAATAGTCGAATACGAAGTCGAAATAATAGCGTACCAAAGATATAATAAACTTACTTAAATCCAGCTTTCAGGAAAGCGTGCGGTTGAATTCTTTTCACGGTGTCTCCAACATCACACAGCATTCTTGCGATCGTTATCTTTCTTATTTGAGCCAACTGAGCTGTATGTAACAGAAAGTATATTTTACAAATTTAATACAAAATATATTATGTACCTAAAAAAAACAGGAACCATTAATAATTTAACTTTTAATCATTTAACTGAAAAATAAGCATTTCTGTGTGTATCTGTGATTTTCTGTATATTTCTATGATATCATTTATTTATCATTGAGACGTACGATTTTACAGAAGCATGCCATTATAAAGTTCAATTAATTTCGGGCCAAACTTGTGTACATCATCTTATACTGACATTACACGTCACTTTACCTCATGGTATAGGGCATCTAGCGAACTCTTAAGTAGTAGAGATTGCCCGAAATGTACACGTCATTTATAAAAAAACAGGAAACAGTGATATTACTGTTGTAACATCACTATGTTAGTGAGTTATGTCACGTCACATCAAAACACTTACGGAAAGTAAACGCATTCGGTCGGTCAGGCCTTTCATACCAGTGCCTGTCGGAGTAAATATTACGTTTTAATTGATCTATAACCAGACAATAGAATGTAGGAGGTACAAAACCGCCACGCATTGGTTTCTCCGTCCAAATACCGGCCAGTAGGTCTATGTCTTCAACTCTTTCGTACATTTCTCTTAACACCTCTATTCTCTGAAATGGAAGGAAATGTAAATTCAAACATATATAAGAGTATATTAAGTATGCGAGTAAATGAATGCGATATTTTTTTCTGTATTATGTATATATCTACAATATGTATGTATTTAGAGATATTTAAGTATGTTTATTGGCGGTTTGATTACCACAGTGCAGGGCCTAAATGCGTCAAGTTATTACTTAAATATATATATGAGTTACAGACACTGGAAGCTACTGAGCTTCATTTGATTGAAGTTTAACGTTAGGTATAGTTTAATTATAATAATAAATTTATAGCTGTGCTTTGTGATTACTCATTAAGTAAAAAAGCAATCGAATAAGTAATGTACTAGATACAAGGATACATTTATATATGTATTATATATATAGATAGGTAGAAATATATAGGAAACAAGAAATAATTAATTAGTTAGAATTCGTTGTAAACATTTCCGATGTAAGCTTGTTAAGCATTTTAATTGAACATTTTTGAATGTAAACTTGTAGGCAAAAAATTACATATATTATGTTCTATTGTAGTTATCTAATAAATTAACTAAAAACCTCACCGTAGTAGCAAACCCAGTTAAAAGTTCTACCTTCCAAAATTTGTCCTCATCAGATTGTTTGTTCGAGGCAAAAAGTGACTTGAAAAGCGCACAGTGGTTTAGTGCCAATTATGGAAGTGATGGGGATGAACATTTGGAAAAAAGTGTAGAACGATAGCGGAAAGCACTCTCCATGATATTTACGATAGAGAATACAGAGTGAAGCTACATCTCTACATAAATATATGTAAAAAAAACATATTACGTAAATGTTAAACGATATTGTTATCTAATCCAGACAATTACAAGTAGGTTAAACTTAAATGATAATATTTGATTACATAGTTAGTTAGAAGCTAATAAAAACTGTTAATAGAAAAACTTATGAGTCGAAGCCTTTTATAGGTATAAATATAAAATCTGTGCCTATACTTAAAAATAATAAAATTACACATCTCACACACGGCTGTTTGGTCTCAAACTACGCAGAGAGTAACCAGACGACCGATAAACATACTTATGTACTAGTATTACCAAATACACTTTACAAATTATAATCATAGATAGATTATACTCAGACACAAAACAAATAATCTTGCTCATTACACATTAATATGTAAAATAAATTCTTTTATATGTATTTACCTCTTCATCAATAATGCCGTGAAGATCGTCGAAGCTCTTAATCCGTCTATTGAAACAAAACTGTCTGTAATTGACGTAAGGTTGGAATCCAAAGTAACGGTTTTTGGACAAATCATTTGTTACCAAATCTGACACTCTTTGATGAGGGCCTAGACCTTGTTCCGTCACCTGTAAGAATAACTTTCATATGACATCCGACGTAACGGAAAAACTGTGGAAATAATTCTAGCCTATCTGTTCATTGGTAGTTATCGAACAAGTAGAAAACTTGGAGACGGACGGAGAATACGTAGGTTTATGATTATATAATGAAAAAAAAAGGCGGGTTGCACTCCGGGAGTACCGACAGAAGTGAAAACTTGAATATTAACGTTGTGCATTTTTGATATTTTGGAATGGTTAGAGAATAATATTGCACGAATTGCTTTAATTATCAGTATAAAAGTACTATCATTTATGTGGTAGAATACAATATTGATTTATTGCGCTATCGTACACAAACATGACAATTTATATTACATTAAAAAGTTTATCTCTCAGAAAAACGAACATTCGCGCAAGCGCCCCGCGCCGCTTGAACGAAACAGCAGGTGCAGGTATACATTTTCAAAGAGAGGGGGATACTTCCTCTTCTACGCCGCGCCGGCTGTCTACTCTCCATCCGTCTTACGAATTTTCGATCAGGGTCAGTTTAACATTTTTTATCCATTACAAAAAAAGGGTACAACGCCTCTAAAGAAGTTTTCACTTCAATAAAAAAAAATCTGTCGAAAGTCATAACCAACTATTACAAATTATGATAATACGCAGTTGGTGCCACTTTTTATGTGAAAATGAGATCCTAATTCGTTATAATTGATATTGAAGTGCAGCTACGAGCGTTAGCGTAAGCCAAAGTAGGTTTTATTGCATAAAATCTGTGTCTTTAAAGATATTAGAATATATTATATTTACGTGTAACTTAGGACGAAGCCCAATTAAGTTATTAATCTTACAACTTATAGTGATGACAATATCGAAAATTATTAATTAATCAAGTAATAGAATGTATTCAAATAGATTCTACTAACAATGCTTTAAAAAAATTAGATTTGCAATTTAAATATTTCTTTGTTCAAAAATTCGTCGCTCCATTTAAAAACAAGGTCCTCCGTCATATATAATTTAAAGCATGAATCATAAAAACATTTACTTACATCAGGATCCGCTACGTAGTCGATTTTAGAGCTGCCTTGTCTGAAACTGCCCTGTGTCAAATAGTCTATATTGTTATCAACAGCTAAGAAACCAGTCCTCAAGGTAAGATTCATGATAGGGAATTGTCTTAGGTAGTAGCCCTCTTTGTCGTGGAGCCTAAAGAAAAAAAAACAAATATACAATTACAGATACATGTGTGAAAAATATGAACGAGTGCTGTAGGAAAACTGCGTCGAAGGTCATCATCATTGTCTCATCTTTTCTCAATTTTGTTTGTGAGGCAAAGGGACGTTCGGGAGGGCAAAGGGAACAGGGGCTTCCCATACAGGAGGGTGTCACCTACCCGCCGTAGATGGCCCGAGGTACGTCGGGGTACCAGCGATTTCCTTTCTAGGGTACACCTGGTTCCCTGGCTACTGGTACCCGAGATGGTGTGCGGTGTTTAGTTGGTTCGAGCCCGACATAGCCACTGGCGGGTATTATCCGAGGGGATTTCCACACAGAAAAAATAGGCCACCCCCAAAGTTCATGAGATGTTAAGCAATTGTTGCTTTTAATCAAGCGGGTGAGGTTGTCGCAGCTCGATCTGGTCAACTCCTCACTCTAATTTTGTGATAAGAGACTCGAAGGGCAGAAAAGCAATCTGGAACGACCAACGAGCCATCGTGGCTCGGCGAGCGGCCTCACGTATCTTCGGGCGGGGGCCGAATACCGCTATCCGCCCGGAACTCAGCCGTCCGCCGACAAAATCCACGGGGGTGTTCTGACCTATACGCACAGGGTATCCGTCGACACGGTGCGGTAACCGCGTGTGGGAGAACCGCCAATATCCTCTGAGGCGTGCCCTATTCTGGGCGGTCAGAGCCGCTGCCCACACCGGTGCACCGTACAGTGCCATTGACTTGACAACCCCCGTGTACAGCTTTGTCGCGACACAGCGTCAACTTCATCTTTTTTATGGAATAGGGAGCAAACGAGCAGACGGGTCACCTGATAGAAAGCGACTACCGCCGCCCATGAACGTCTGCAGTTCAGGAGTCATAAGCGCCTTGCCGTCCGGTGAGGAATGAGAACGCTCTTTTCTTTAAGCTCTTTCATCCGTGGGATAGCATTGGTACAGAAAGCCTGTGTTGAATAATTCTTTCATACATTTCACAGAGTTGAGAGGGAGGTATTAAAAAGCCGACAATGCATTTCTGACTCTGCATTTACAGGTGCTCACTGGCGGCTGTGGTCATTTCCTATCTATCAGGCTACTCGTTTGTTTGTTCAGCCCCTTTTTTTTTTTTTTTCTTTTTTTTTCAGTGCGTACATCCCCTCGGATACCACCTGTCGGTGGCATGTCGGACTCCAACCGACTAAAACCACACGCCGTCTCGGGTACTAATAGCCGGGGAACCAGGTATACTGGTATGTTTGTTCAGCCCCTATATCATAACACATTTGTTGTTAAGTTAGAACGTATAAGCACGTTTATTGCTTGAGTATATAAAAGAGAAATAAAAGACAGCCATAATATATCATTATTTAATATACCATACATACAAACGAACATACATTAGAAAAAATAGACTGCGGCTATTTTGTTTTTTTGATAAATGTTTTTTACACTAATACTGGTTGAAAGAAATGATCGAAGAAACCCCCGCCGGCGCCGCAAGAATCATCTCTCCAAGCGGAGAAGTCCATGCCGATGATGTGTTTGCAATCACACATCGGGTTCCTAAAAAACAAAACAATTTGCCTATATTGTAACTTTTTAATTTTGTGTTGGTAGATATTTTTATTGGAGTATGGCAATACTAAATATAAATAAAATAAATAAATAAATAAAAAAGCCTTTTATTTCTTACTAAAAATACAGTTACAATTAATCTTAAAACTATTAAATACTACTACTACTACTACTATTATTTTATCTAATTTTATACAGTAATCTGTGCGCTAAGTAGTAAGAACCCCTCTTAATCGAAGGTGAAGGCCTCCTCTAGAGATTTCCAAGCGTCCCTGTCGGTTGCTGTGTCCATCCAACGATCGCCGGCCACTTGAGTTATGTCATCGGTCCACCGGGCAACTGGTCTGCCCCTCTTCCTAGAGCCTGCTGGTCCGACCCAAGACGTCAATCTCTTCGTCCATCTGCTATCTGTCAGCCGCGTTATGTGGCCGGCCCAGCGCCACTTTAATTTTTTGCAGTGACATAGAGCATCAACAACCTTAGTCTTTTTCCGAATAGTTTTATTTGGTACTTTTTGTATCTTTTTCAAGTTTAATATGCTTCTTTCCATCCCGCTTTGGCATGACCTAATTTTGTTTTTAGCTTTTATAGTGAACTTCCAAGTTTGACTGCCGTAAGTTAGTGATGGGAGAATACAGGTATCCATGACTTTTTGTTTAATTCTAATTGGCATTTCACTTTTTAAAACTTCTTTCAGACTAGAAAATTTCTTCCATGTGTTTGCAATTCTTCTTTCTATTTCATGGTAATTTCTTTGCTTATCGAATGATATCTGCTTCCCCAGGTAAATATAAGTGTCGACATATTCTAACTTTTCATTTTCTAGGTATATTGGGTTCCTGCTGTTATTTGTCATGATATTTGTTTTATTGCGATTTATTTCTAGACCAACCTGTAGACTAGCTGTGTGGAGGGCGTTTATCATTGATTGTAGTTGTCTTGTACTTTCAGAAAATAGGACGATATCGTCTGCGAATCTTAAGTGACTTATATACTCATTGTTTATGTTTAAACCGACTCTTTCCCAGGCAAGCTTCTCGATCACGTATTGTAGTACCGCTATGAAAATTGTTGGGGAAATAGGATCGCCCTGTCTAACCCCTCTTTTGATGGGTATAGGGGGACCAGTCGAATCTAATCTAATTCTACTGTTGCAGTTTTGGTATAGATGTTGTAGAACCTTGAGATATTCAGTTTCAATATTTTGTGATTGTAGAGCTTCCCAAATAGAGTGATGATACAAAGTATCGAAAGCTTTTTGGTAGTCGATGAACGCTAGGTAGAGCGGTCTCTTGAACTCTTGGTATTTTTCTATAACCATTTCGATAGAGTGGATATGGTCCATGGTAGAAAATCCTCTCCGGAATCCGGCCTGTTCTATAGGTTGATGTTTTTCTATGGTACTTCTGATTCTTTTTTCTAAAATTGATGAGAATAATTTGTAAATGGATGGCAGCAGGCTTATAGGTCGGTAATTACTTATATTGTGCGGGTCTCCCTTCTTGTATAATAAGACAATGTCTGATTCAGCCCATTGTTTTGGTATAGTTACGGTTCTTATTACTAAGTTAAATAACTGTGTTAAAGGGCCTGCTAAGTGTTGACATGCAATTTTCAGGGTTTCGTTAGTTATTTTGTCTGGTCCCGGGCTCTTTTCTGACTTTAGTTTACTAATTGCTTTTAATACCTCCGCTTCTTCTATGTCTTGTATTTGTAGTGTTGTGTCTCTTAGTATAATTTGAGTGGTATCATGGTTTTCAAAGCAGTACAAATTTCTATAGAAATTAGTAGCAACTTGAATTATTTCTTTTCTATGACAAGTTCTTTTGTTTGAAGCTTCTAGGCCATCTATCCAGTTCGTATGTGTTCTTAATTCTCTAATGGCTTTCTTTAAACTTCCAGACTGAGTTATATGTTTTTCAATAGTATTCCTACGGTGAGATTTGTAGTCTAGATTAATACGTTTGCTAATAAGTTTGTAGAGAGCTTTTAACTCTTCTTTCATACTCCTTGTTTTTGGTTTCAGGTTTTGTAAATATTGTCGTCTTAACATCAATTTTTTAGTATTGGGTGAAATAACAGAAATGGTGTTATTTTGCTGTGAGGTTGTTTTAGCTTTTTTGAGGCTATTATTTATAGCAGAAATAATTTCATCATGAAAGTTTTGCACTGTATATATTTCTTGTCGAGTATGTAGGTATTCTAAGTCTTCGCAAAGTGATTTTTTGTATGTTTGTATTTCAATTTCATTGTTTAAAGTACTTTTTACGTTATTCTCAAAGGTTTTTCTACTTTTCTTTGAAGACTGCATATTCAGCGTGGCTCTCACCATTTTATGGTCGCTGGGATACTTCACATTAATCACTTGCATGTTGTGTACATATTTTTGGAGATTAGTTAGTATGTAGTCCACTTCATTTTTTACCATACCATTCGGTGATCTCCAGGTCCATCTTTTGCTGTTCTTCTTCTTAAAGAAAGTGTTTAAAATTACTACATTCTTTTCAAATGCAAATTCTATAAGCCTAGTACCTCTGTGGTTTCTGTTACCAAAGCCATGCTTTTTCATTACATTATTTTCTTCTCGTTTTGGTTGCCCAATTTTGGCATTAAAGTCACCCAATACTATTAAATTTTTGCCTGCAATAAGTAATGCTTTGTTTACAGTGGTGTAAAAGAGTTCAGTCTCGGTATCACTCGATGATTCGGTGGGGGCGTAACATTGTATTATGCTTACTTCAATGTTGTTGATAGTAAGTTGAAGTAGAGCCACTCGTTCTGATATGCCTTTAAAACATATAATGTTCTTCTTATGTCGCTTTTTTACTATGAATCCCACACCATACAAGCCTGGGGTCTGTCCTATATAGTAGAATATGAAGTCTTCATGTTCCTCTATAGTATTCCCAAGTCGTCTGACTTCAGAGAGACCAATAACATCATAATTTATGTTTTTTATAGCTTCTTTTAGTTCAAGTAGGTGGGAGTATGAGGACAACGTTCTCGTGTTGTATGTTGCTACATATAATAGATTTTTTTCTAGGTTATCTTTGTTTTCATTGCATGTATTCTCTAGAGGGTTTTGGTCTACGTCTCCCACGGGGACTCTTTTATTATTTAATACTAAATATACTAGATAATATTGTTTATTCGCTAGATAAATCAATAGGAGATATCTAACGCTTTTCGCCTGAACATGACGTAGTCTATCAATTTCTCTTTACATTTGTAGCATATATATGTTTAATATAATTTTATTTAATTTGAAGCTAATAGTACGCTTATTAATATGTAGAATAGTAGACATAATATTTACGTACATTGATAGGCAGACAGAACTATTTCTATTATGTATATATAATAATTTAAAATATGAAGAATGCAAAACCGGTTTGTGACGGCGAGCGGCCGAGGGCTTGCGCCCGCGCCGCGCGCCATTCGTATTAACAGTTCGACGCCAAATGTCTTCGCGCCCTTACCGATTGCATCCCTCATATCGCGTGTGTCATTCTTAAGTTTAACGTTCCCTAATAAACTGTACCTAGTTCTATTATATATTCTTTACTTCGTTTCTCCTTCTAATCTACTCTCGGGTCTGATTGAAACTTTCTCGTGTGTGGCTTTAATACTTTTTCAATATAATACATATATATCTTATCACAAATAGACTATTTATTGCTTTAAACCACCTCATATTTATAGAAGTCTCACAACTCTTCATAGCGTACTCAAAGTATACGTAATCGTTATGTCCAACTTGTTGCTAAATTCAATTTAAAAAAATTCTAATATTAGTTCTTAGTATGCCGTTTAGTTAGGAACTGTTAGGCAGTCTGTCCTAAAATATTTGATTAATTGCTATTGGATATTTTCAAGAATAAAAAACCATTTCTAGAAAAATCCTTTCGAACACTCCTTATTTTATGTGTTTAATGACTCAAGTTTGTGTTGACTAACAGTTTCAAAAGGAAAAGATTAGTTTTTATGGAAAACTAAAATTATAAACCAAATGTCATCACTCAACCAACTACAGTTATTTATTCTATACTGATATTTTATATCTGAAGTGTTTATTTGTTCGTTTGTTTCGTTGAACGCGCTAATCTTAGAAACTACTGGTTCTATAATAAATTGAAAAAAAAAATAACATCACGCTACGACCAATAGTAGCTAAGCATCAACGAAAAATGTTGGATAACAAGGATTTTTTTTTTCTTTTTACAGACGTAGACAAAGTTGCTCGGGTCAGTTTAAAATAAGTATCAATACTAATGAAAATCAAGATTGTTACGTGTAAAGAAAAAGAGGTTGATTTTGCTTGCGAAATCATCCACTGAGGCTCTTGCCAATAAAAATAGCAGTCTCCTTATTCTTGCTCAATTTGAGTAAGTAGAAAGATACGTATTAAACGCCCCTTAGAACATTCTGCCATCTATAATTTTACTTCCATTTATCTAATAGGGGTCAAGTATAGACTTGACCTTTATTCATTCTCATCATCATCAACAGCATTTAATAGTCCACTGCTGGACATAGGCCTCTCCTTATAAAGGAGGTTTTGGCATACTATACCACCCTGGCCAGACGGTATGGTATAGGGGTTGTGTCAAGTTTTCCTTCCCTTTGCAGTGGTGTTGTCCTTCGTAGTATAATAATAATAATAATAATAATAATATATTTATTTGTCAGAATATGGGTTTACAGAGTTGTTAGTAGGTTCGTTTTAGATGCTAGCCACATTCTACCATTATCTGGTGAACAAAATGTTAATATACTGAATTTACTGTTTTTTTTTTTACAATTTAATCATGCATTATTTAGTAATATAGTAATAATTATGTCACAATTTCTCATCGTCAAAAAATTCTTTAACACTGTAGAAACATTTATCTAAGAGCAACGTAAATAATTTTCTTTTAAAAACATTAATGGTGTCTTCCTTAAATCTATTTGGTATCTTGTTATAAATATGTATAGCCATACAGTATACATTCCTACTATACATACTTATTCTTTGTCTGGGAACTAAGAGTTTATGTGTGTTTCTGCTTGACCTGGCGACAGCGTCGTTATGTTTACAAAATAGCCGTTGATGTTTGTGCACAAAAACACAAATCTCATAAATATACAGACTAGGTAGAGGTAGTATGTTGTATTTCTTAAAATGCTCTTTGCAACTATCGGTTTGCTGTAAGTTGGATAGTGCTCGCATACATTTCTTTTGCACAAGAAATGCCCTATTTGCCTCAACTGAATTGCCCCATATTATAATCGCATATCGTAGTTTTGACGACACATAGCCGTGGTATGCGCTTAAAGCAGTGCTAAGAGTCGATATTTGTTTAAGGCGATATATAGCATAAACAAATTTATCCAAACTCATGCAAAGGTTCTGAATATGTTGCTTCCAATTACAGTGTTTGTCTATTGTAATGCCCAAAAATGACGTCGCATCCACTTCTTCAACTACATTATTATTACATTTAATATCTAATTTAATGGGTTTACTATTGTATGTCTGAAATTGTATCATTTTCGTTTTATTAACATTTATTTTAAGGTAATTACATTCTAACCAATTGATAATATTACCCAGTTCATTGTTTATCTTATTCTCTATGTTATTTTTATCGCTATCTTCTATAATTAAGGTAATGTCATCGGCGTATAGTACGCATTTATGCTCAGTCACATTCGGTAAATCGTTTATATATAAAATAAACAATAAAGGCCCTAGAATACTCCCCTGAGGTACCCCAGAACTATTTAGTCGTTTAAATTCGGATCTAGAGGATGTTTTATATTTACCAGAAATGCTTGATATCTCTACACATTGATATCTGTTATCTAAGTAGCTTTTAAGCCAATCTAGTGCTTTTCCACGGATTCCATATCTCTCAAGCTTATGGAGTAACAATTTATGATTTACAAAATCGAAAGCCTTGGACATGTCAAGAAATATTGATACTATGTTATTTTTTATATTGAGATTGTCAGTAATTACTTTCGTTAAAGTAAAACATGCCAAGGCAGTAGAGTGATCTTTTCGGAAACCGTGTTGTTCAGGTGTGAGAATGTTATTTTTTTCTAAAAATCCATATAATTTAATATGCATTACTTTTTCAAATAATTTTGAAAATATTGGAATCAACGTAATGGGTCTATAATTATTCATGTCATTTGTATCGCCCTTCTTATGCAAAGGTTTGACAACTGATAGTTTTAGTCTAGCAGGTACGTGTCCCTGCATAAGTGACAAATTAATAATATAACATAAGGGAGCAGAAATTATTTTGGCGCATAATTTTAAGATGTCAGTTCTGATGTGATCATAGCCTGTCGAATTAGTGTTATGTAAAGAGTTAATAGCTTTAAAAATGTCAAAATGTCAAAATGTATGCTCCCTTAGTCGGCTCTCACGACCCCCACGAAATGAATAGGGTTGGTGACATTGCGTATTCTTAATCTATCACCATACGGATGCAATAATATGAAGCAATAGTCGAATACGAAGTCGAAATAATAGCGTACCAAAGATATAATGCACTTACTTAAATCCAGCTTTCAGGAAAGCGTGCGGTTGAATTCTTTTCACGGTGTCTCCAACATCACACAGCATTCTTGCGATCGTTATCTTTCTTATTTGAGCCAACTGAGCTGTATGTAACAGAAAGTATATTTTACAAATTTAATACAAAATATATTATGTACCAAAAAAAAACAGGAACCATTAATAATTTGACTTTTAATCATTTAACTGAAAAATAAGCATTTCTGTGTGTATCTGTGATTTTCTGTACATTTCTATGATATCATTTATTTATCATTAAGGCGTACGATTTTACACATGCATGCCATTATAAAGTTCAATTAATTTCGGGCCAAACTTCTGTACATCATCTTATACTGACATTACACGTCACTTTACCTCATAGTATAGGGCATCTGGCGAACTCTTAACTAGTAGGGATTGCCCGAAATGTACACGTCATTTATAAAAAAACAGGAAACAGTGATATTACTGTTGTAACATCACTATGTTAGTGAGTTATGTCACGTCACATCAAAACACTTACGGAAAGTAAACGCATTCGGTCGGTCAGGCCTTTCATACCAGTGCCTGTCGGAGTAAATATTACGTTTTAATTGATCTATAACCAGACAATAGAATGTAGGAGGTACGAAACCCCCACGAATTGGTTTCTCCGTCCAAATACCGGCCAGTAGGTCTATGTCTTCAACTCTTTCGTACATTTCTCTTAACACCTCTATTCTCTGAAATGGAAGGAAATGTAAATTCAAACATATATAAGAGTATATTAAGTATGCGAGTAAATGAATGCGATATTTTTTTCTGTATTATGTATATATCTACAATATGTATGTATTTAGAGATATTTAAGTATGTTTATTGGCGGTTTGATTACCACAGTGCAGGGCCTAAATGCGTCAAGTTATTACTTAAATATATATATGAGTCACAGACACTGGAAGCTACTGAGCTTCATTTGATTTAAGTTTAACGTTAGGTATAGTTTAATTATAATAATAAATTTATAGCTGTGCTTTGTGATTACTCATTAAGTAAAAAAGCAATCGAATAAGTAATGTACTAGATACAAGGATACATATATATATGAATTATATATATAGATAGGTAGAGATATATAGGAAACAAGAAATAATTAATTAGTTAGAATTCGTTGTAAACATTTCCGATGTAAGCTTGTTAAGCATTTTAATTGAACATTTTTGAATGTAAACTTGTAGGCAAAAAATTACATATATTATGTTCTATTGTAGTTATCTAATAAATTAACTAAAAACCTCACCGTAGTAGCAAACCCAGTTAAAAGTTCTACCTTCCAAAATTTGTCCTCATCAGATTGGTTGTGCGAGTCAAAAAGTGACTTGAAAAGCTCAGAGTGGTTTAGTGCCAATTATGGAAGTGATGGGGATGTAGAACGATAGCGGAAAGCACTCTCCATGATATATACGATAGAGAATACAGAGTGAAGCTACATCTCTACGCAAATATATGTAAAAAAAACATATTACGTAAATGTTAAACGATATTGTTATCTAATCCAGACAATTACAAGTAGGTTAAACTTAAATGGTAATATTTGATTATATAGTTAGAAGCTAATGAAAACTGTTAATAGAAAAACTTATGAGTCGAAGCCTTTTATAGGTATAAATATATAATCTGTGCCTATACTTAAAAATAATAACATTACACATCTCGGACACGGCTGTTTGGTCTCAAACTACGCAGAGAGTAACCAGACGACCGATAAACATACTTATGTACTCGTATTACCAAATACATTTTACAAATTATAATTATAGATAGATTATACTCAGACACAAAACAAATAATCTTGCTCATTACACAATAATATGTAAAATAAATTCTTTTATATGTATTTACCTCTTCATCAATAATGCCGTGAAGATCGTCGAAGCTCTTAATCCGTCTATTGAAACAAAACTGTCTGTAATTGACGTAAGGTTGGAATCCAAAGTAACGGTTTTTGGACAAATCATTTGTTACCAAATCTGACACTCTTTGATGAGGGCCTAGACCTTGTTCCGTCACCTGTAAGAATAACTTTCATATGTCATCCGACGTAACGGAAAAACTGTGGAAATAATTCTAGCCTATCTGTTCATTGGTAGTTATCGAACAAGTAGAAAACTTGGAGACGGACATACGTAGGTTTATGATTATAAAATGGAAATAGAAAAATGTTCTGTTGAAAGTCAAAACTAACTCAACAATTCCAAATTATGATAATACGCAGTTGGTACCACTTTATGTGTTCAAAGGTTACAAATAGCAATGATCTTTCAATCTTTAAACTCTTTAACCAATCTTTAAACTCCTCACCCTGCCTTGCAGAATCAATTTTAAAAGATAATGTTGGTAGAACTGATAGTGAATTTAAGTTCCAATATGTTTCACCCCTTGAAATTATTAAAGCCTTTAACACTATTAATGTTAAAAAAACAAGTAACCTATGGGGAAATTCTACAATTATATCTCTTGTGGCTAATCAATTGTCATTTACATTTAATCAAGTGGTGTATTGCCTGATCTTATGAAGTCCAGTAAAATTATTCCCTTATTCAAATCTGGTAGTAAATCTGACCCAAATAAGTTTAAGTCTATTTCAGTACTACCAGTATTTAAAATTTTGAAAAAATAGTGTATGATCAATTACAAAGTTATTTTAATAATAATAACTTATTACACAATAGTTAATTTGTTTTTAGTAGGGGTCGCTCCACAAATGATGTGTGTAGCTTATAAAAAGCTAGTGTTGAGCTTATAACAAATGTATTTTATGCCTGGGAGGATGCCCACGAGTCTCTAGGTATCTTTTGCGATTTATCTAAAGCTTTTGATTGTGTTGTTCATGAAACGCTGATCAGAAAATTGCAGCACTATGGTATCAAAACTAAAGCACTGGAACTTCTTGCTTCATATCTAACTAATAAGATTCAGAAACTTAATACTAACGGTGAGCAATCGCCGGGTTCTGTGGTAGAAATGGGCGTTGCTCAAGGTTATATTCTCGGCCCATTTTCGTCTAAAGCTTTTAAAATGTGAATTAAATGAGATCTTAATTCGTTATAATTGTTATTGAAGTGGAGCTACGAGCGTTAGCGTAAGCCATAGGTTTCATTGTATAAATTCGTGTCTTTAAAGATATTAAAATATAAATATATTTACGTGTAACTTAGGACGAAGCCCAATTAAGTTATTAATCTTACAACTGATAGTGATGAAAATATCGAAAATTATTAATTAATCAAGTAATAGAATGTATTCAAATAGATTCTACAAACAATGCTTTAAAAAAATTAGATTTGCAATTTAAATATTTCTTTGTTCAAAAATTCGTCGCTCTATTTAAAAACAAGGTCCTCCGTCATATACAATTTAAAGCATGAATCATAAAAACATTTACTTACATCAGGATCCGCTACGTAGTCGATTTTAGAGCTGCCTTGTCTGAAACTGCCCTGTGTCAAATAGTCTATATTGTTATCAACAGCCAAGAAACCAGTCCTCAAGGTAAGATTCATGATAGGGAATTGTCTTAGGTAGTAGCCCTCTTTGTCGTGGAGCCTAAAGAAAAAAAACCAAATATACAATTACAGATACATGTGTGAAAAATATGAACGAGTGCTGTAGGAAAACTGCGTCGAAGGTCATCATCATTGTCTCATCTTTTCTCAATTTTATTTGTGAGACAAATGGACTTTCGGGAGGACAAAGGGAACAGGGGCTTCCCACACAGGAGAGTGTCACCTACCCGCCGTAGATGGCCCGAGGTACGTCGGGGTACCAGCGATTTCCTTTCTAGGGTACACCTGGTTCCCTGGCTACTGGTACCCGAGATGGCGTGCGGTGTTTAGTTGGTTCGAGCCCGACATAGCCACTGGCGGGTATTATCCGAGGGGATTTCCACACAGAAAAAATAGGCCACCCCCAAAGTTCATGAGATGGTAAGCAATTGTTGCTTTTAATCAAGCGGGTGAGGTTGTCGCAGCTCGATCTGGTCAACTCCTCACTCTAATTGGCAGAAAAGCAATCTGGAACGACCAACGAGCCATCGTGGCTCGGCGAGCGGCCTCACGTATCTTCCGGCGGGGGCCGAATACCGCTATCCGCCCGGAACTCAGCCGTCCGCCGACAAAATCCACGGGGGTGTTCTGGCCTATACGCACAGGGTATCCGTCGACACGGTGCGGTAACCGCGTGTGGGAGAACCGCCAATATCCTCTGAGGCGTGCCCTATTCTGGGCGGTCAGAGCCGCTGCCCACACCGGTGCACCGTACAGTGCCATTGACTTGACAACCCCCGTGTACAGCTTTGTCGCGACACAGCGTCAACTTCAAACTAAGTTCGTTTGAAATTCGACACTGCAACTAAGTTAGTTTGTTTGACAAGTATGCTTTATTGCCCTTTACACCGTAAAGAATAACAAAAATAAATGGAAATAATACACCAAGTTTTTTAATAACAATTTTGAGCTATACATAGCCATTTTAAATTATTCTAATGCATTTATTGAACACATTGCAGTCTATTAAACCTTGACATCAAAACATGTTAACAATTCCGTTGTTGTAAAATATGAAAACAAAAACTACAATAATAACACGCATATCTTCAAATTCGCATTAATTTATACAATCTAATTATTAATTAATTCGTTTCACCCAATAACAACCATTCAATTGTTTATATCGCATTATAAATTACTACATATGATTATAATTTTGTGTGCTTTACTAAGTGTCACTACCCCTATTTATCCCATGGGTGTCGTTAAAGCCGACTAAGGGAGCAAACTACGCAGAACAGCATCATTGCAAAGAGAGGGGAAAACTGGACACTAACCATAGGGTATAGGCCAACCCGTCTGGTCAGGGTGGTATAGTACGGGCACGCCGTCATCGCGGCGGTAAGACCCGTTATGGAGGATTGGCTCGAGAGGCGTCACGGGACCCTCTCATACCGACTGACGCAGGTGATCACTGGGAAAGGATGTTTCGGGGATCACCTGTGTCTGATCCGCAAGGAGCCAACGCCTGAGTGCCACCACTGCGATGGCCAGACCGTGGACACGGCTCTCCACACGCTGGCAGAGTGCCCGGCGTGGGTTCAGCAGAGGCGAGACCTCGTGGCGGCCATCGGAGTTTGAGTTCTCTCGCTCGATAGCCTGATTGCGGCTATCGTGCGGAGCGAGAGTGCGTGGAACTCTGCCGTCTCCTTCTGCGAGCAAGTTATGCTCGCGAAGGAAACGGCGGAGCGGGACCGGGAGAGGTTTAGGACTCTCCCGGCCCGCCAGGCCCGGGAACGGGCCAGATACCGCAGGCGACTCAGACGCCGGAGGTCGCAGAACGACCTCCGTCCTCCATAAGAGCAGGCCTGGGGGTGACAGGTGAGACCATCTGTCACCCTAGCAGAAACAGGCCGGGATGGCGGCGAGCGCGTTGCGAAGCGCGGTCGCTTCCAGGGAGCACAGGGAACATGGGGTTCCCACACGGGGGGGGGGGGGGGGGGGGGGGGGTCGTCTACTCGTCTGTAGATGACCTGAGGTATGTCGGGGCACCAGGGACTTCCTTTCTAGGGTATACCTGGTTCCCCGGCTATTAGTACCCGAGACGGCGTGCGGTTTTAGTCGGTTCGAGTCCGAAATGCCACCGACAGGTGGTATCGGAGGGGATTTCCGCACGGAAAAAAAAAAAAGAAAAGAAGGTGGTATAATACGCCAAAAAATCCTTTCTAGAGAAAGCTATTTTAGTGGCTGTTGATGTGATGATGATGACTTTATACATCAGTGCGTACAAAAAATAATAATAATATTTTTTGACGTGCTAGAATGACGCGCTACCTCGCCCCCGCCACTGTCTGTCACCCCGCGGGACGGTCGCGCACGAGATTGCCGGGTTATAGTAGCCATGATTTTATATTAATTTTCAGGTCATTTTTTGCCAGTGACTTAATGAGAAGAGTTTTGTTTATTTTGTTATCCATGTGTGTAGCAAGGTATAAGCATTGACGTCTTGCTGATGCAGTTCTACATTTTAAAGGCTTGCAAACGTTGTTACGTGTACGCTTATTTTTGTTTTCATGATTAATCGGTGTAACTTTGTGTCGCAAACTTGTTATATTGAGAACGTACAATTGTCTTAATGTGGGTAGTTTACACTTTTCATACAATAAATTTGTTGGGAATCAGTGTGGTTCAAAAGTCATAACCTTAAGTAGCGATCTTTGGGCTCTTTCTAGATGAATCATATAGGTTTTGCTGGCCCCTCCCCATATCGTTATACAGTAACTAAAGATGGACACAATTCGCACAAGACACATTGTCCTACACAATACCGACTGTATCAAAAGCCTTGCCCAGGTCTAGGAAAACTCTAAGGCGTTTCTGTTTACTATCAATTTTGCCCTTAATATAACCGGTTAATTGATTATCTGCGTCTTCTGTGTTTTTCCCTTATCTAAAGCCAAATTGTGCCTTCAAAAGTAGTTCGTTACGTTCTAAATATTTCATAAATCTATTGACGAAAATATTAATTAATTAAATATACTTACTTTAAAGTACCATCTTGGATATTATGCACCCATCTTAATGCAAACGGATATTCCAAGGACAATTGTGGCGGTATGTTCTCATCGTACAGGTCCCTGAATCCACCGCTGCGATCGATCACGCCATCTTCAGCCATATTGTCAAAACCTAAAAAATACGAAGATAATAAAACCAAGTAATTATAAACATATATATCGGTTTATACCCGAAGCTTCGCGGTCATTGATTTCGATTTCCACGATCAATATTCTTGAATAACAAGTAGACTATTTATCCATTTGATAAATTTCATTATCATAAGTTCAGCTGTTGTCGAGTGATGGCAAAACAAATATCTATCCAGACTTCGCATTTATACGAGTAGTAACATTAATTTTGAGATAAAAAATATTGAATAGTTTAGCACTGCAGCAATGGCGTCTCTGTAAATTTATGGTAAATTAAATCTGGTTTTTACACCAAGTAATTGATTTCGAAAAAAAAACATTTTAATAAATGTGTGACGTAAATAATCATAAGGATTCTTCGATCAAGTGGTTGCAGGTTCGAACCCTACTTAGACATGTATCCATTTCTAACATTAAGTATGTACTCGTAGCTTAACTTGAGAAGACAACAAGAACACGACGTTAAAAAGTAGTGGGGCATCGATGAAGCCCCGCGCCCTGTCGAATCAGGATCTAAGAAATTATCGTTTCGTACGAAAGCTTTGCACCAGGTTAGTCAGGTGTTGAGGCTTCATCGATGTGTTACTATTTTTTTAAGCAAATGGACTATACGCGGATCAAAAACAAAGGACTATGGCGATGTTTGAACCACATTTCTAGTATTTAAATATAAAAACCATGGAACAAAATCAATCAAGTTTGCTTTCTTTTTTCGGATTAAATATTTACAATATTACTTTAATATTTTGACAATAATATTATTATTATTAGACCCTAGACTAGTTGCCTAGATCAATTTTATGGTAACTTAAAAAACTCACCAAAGAACACCGGCAATAACTCATAGTAATAAATTTGTAGCGATACTGCAATGTTTATGTCTCTTGCTGTCTCAAACAGTTTATCATCATCCCAGCAGGGGTTGACCTTGGCTAGTTCGGTGGCAATAAAGTTATGATACCTCCAGAACCATATTGCTACCAAATTAATTCCTGCTAGCGTGTTCGAACCATCCTCAGCTAGAACATTAAGAAATAAATAGTGGTGTACCTGGTATTGGATTGGTCTGTTGATCTAGTGGGTTATGATCTTGGCTGCTATGCGGTCGTGAGTTTGATTCGCACTCATAAGTGATCGTATGGTGAGCCTAGTGCCTTTATCCGTGTCTGGGTGTAATTTGTGTATGTACGAGTATATATTAAGAAACACCATGTGTCATGAGAGCTGCCTAAGGAGCAAACTACGCAGGACAATAGCACTGCAAAGAGAAGGAAAACTTGACACAAACCCTATACCAACCCGCCTTGCTAGCTTGATATATTGGGCCAAAATCTCCTTTCTAAGGAGAGGCCTATGTCTAATAGTAGACTACTAAAGGCTGCTGATGTGATATGATGTGAAGAATCGTACAAGTATGTTCAGTATTTATGTTCTACCTGCTTTGGTTACGGCCGTGTGTGAGATATGTCACATACAGATGAACATGGCATACTTATATTTCTAAATACCTACATGTTACAGAAAATATACAGACACATGTCGTGACCGCTCAGTTATTCAAATTTGTTCTGGGTGGGAAACTCACCAACAACATCTGGCTCAGTCGTAAGGGTCACTATCCCCTGAATCAATAGGCCATACGTTCTTCTATTAGGTTGGAGACAAAAAAAGATCTTGCAACTTACGCATTTCATGACATCTGGTTTCTTTAGGTCTCTGGTTTAGGTAGCAAACATTCGCTTGAGTCTTATAACTTGGAGGCCATATCCTTCCTTCCTCAATCTCAGTTTTTACCAGACCTCCTGTGAATAAGCGACCTTTTTGTAGCAAAGGAGGTAGTAGGTTGCCATATATGACAGACAAATCTAGTAGAGGAGTTGATGAGATTATCTGAAAAGAACGGTTATTTGTAATGGGTTACAACAACATCAATAGATAAATAAAAAACGGATTAATCGAAATATGTAATCATCATCATGGTAGGTACCTATTTTACCGATAATTACTGTGGTAAAATGGAACGTGGAGTAGATTACTGGTACGCAAATTTCTTGTGGGCACATTAAGTTTAATATTGCAAAACATATCAGCACAGTCTAACTTGCTTAAATATGAAAAGAATGAAGAATGCCCTTGTGAGTGTTAAGTTGGTTATGAAGGTGTTCCTAGGCAGCGGTAGTCACTTACCATCAGGTGACACGTATGCTCCCATTTGCCCTCCTACACTGTAAGAAAAGTCCATCAGAAACTTACCCTCTCAGGTATTGTGTCATTCCTTACACATCCAATACTCTGGAATGACTCGGGTCTAGTCATGTTTAAGCAACGGATACCGGAGAACCTATGGACAGGATCATCTTCAGGTATCTTGTTAGGAACGCACATGTAATCTGTCTTGCCTTTCTCAGTGCAGCAGTACGGCTTCCATTGAATATAGTTTACTGAAACATTCAGTATCCATATTTAAAAAAAATGCCATATAATACGAAGTCATTATATGCAAAAAATGATTGTCTACCAGTGTCATGCAAGGAGACGACGTCAGCAGACATGAATACAAAGTAGTGCACAGCCAGCATCGTGAAGATTGTGCTTGGAACTTTGCCCACTGATATGAGGCGAGTCCTGAGGTATCGAGCAAGAGGCAGGTCATTGCCAGAAGATGATTTTCTTGGTTCGAAGTCTGAAAAAAGGTAAAAGTTTTAGTAAACAGAAACAATCGAAGGCATATTGACGTGAAAAATACATGGAGCAATTTCTTAGCGTTCCATGGATTCACAGTGCGGTCAGGGTACGTGATAGATGGGGGACAACACATGCGACTTCTACAGCGCCTGGAACAGCGACGCGTCAGCGCTCATCTTCACTATCTGCTGTGTAATCCCCTATGCTGTGATGATCCCCATGATTATCAGTGCCTTTACTCAACGATGCAGAAGAGGTGTGCGTTACGTAAGCCACCCAGCACTAACAGCATCCTTCGCCTAATATCCATCCTTTCCACCCCTTCAGATGGGAGATAATTCATTGGCCTATGATGCCAAGGAGAAAGCCGATCTCCTAGGCAAACTCTTTACATCCAACTCGACTTTCAATGACGGGGGAAACGTACCGCGCCGACCATACCGCGGTGCCAGAGCTATGTACCGGATATCCGGTTCACACAAAAATCAGTGCGTAAAGCATTCTTTTTCCTAGAAATTCATAAGTGGTGTGGGCCAGATGCACGTGTGTCGTGTGGGCACAACCAATCGGTGGAACGTCTGCTGTATTTCCGGACCGACACGACCTTGAAAACTTCAAGACAAGAGCGTACTCCTTCCTAAAGGCAGGCAATGCGTTGGTAACTCCTGAGTTGTAAACGTTCATGGGCGACGATGGTTACTTTCCATGGGTCACCCCATCTGCTCATCTGCCCCCTCTAACATTAAAATAAAAAACCTACTATGCCGTCTCTGTCGGAATAGCAGAACGGTGATCCACATGCTATATAATTTGATATTTAAGTACTAGATAGACGTAAGTATTACTACGCAGTAGTCTCTTTCTGTGAAGCTGTAATGCTCCAGAAAGAGACCGCTGAACGGGATCGGGAGAGGGCCGATCCCGAGCGTAGAGGAAGTCGGTGGCTCAGGCCGCAGGCTGGCAGAGAGTGGGGTGGTCTCTTGGCAGTTGATTACTGGATAAGGGACATTCTCGCACTAAAATGCGATCGGGCTGTTAGATTAAGTGATAGACGGGGGGAAGCTTCTGACTTCCCTCGGGATAGGGCCTAAAATATTTTTAGTGGAGACACCACATACTCCTAGCTCCTGTGTCCCTTAGGAACGGGAGATCCGAAGGTATCTTCCAGCCCGTTACCAAAAGAAAAGTATTACTAACGAGTTTGGTCACTCGAATAAATAATTTGAAATAAAAATATTAATTGAAGGTCCAATCTTCCGTCCCTATCTAAATGTGGGGGGAAGAGGGGAGGTGGAAAACGGGCGGGCAATGCACTTGTCTCATGAATTCCAAGTGTCCATGGGCGGCGGCAGTCACTTGGCATCAGGCGGTTAGCCCCATATTCCGTAAAATAAAGTGTCATGTAGATGTAGTGTGTGTAGACCAGGTAGTGTCCTTGCTCTGGTGCCCTTTCCAGTTACTGAACAAGTATTGATACCCGACCCTGGCTGCCGAGAATCTGTTTTCTTTACTTTAATTTCCTGTCTTTCTTTATCCCGTCTGAAAATGTCTACGTTTCTGAGAAGAGACGGACTCAGGCGTTCGTCTAGTCATGAAAAAGAAAATCCGGTCAAGTGCCAGTTGGACTCGCCCACCGAGTGTTCCGTACACACTTGTAGGTACATTTTATAAATAGTTCAAAAATTCAGTTTGCCCGAACCTTCAATTACTTATATTCTTGAGTTTTATAAGAGAAACTGTATCTCGATGATAAAGTACTTTAAATAAAGACAATATTTAATATGATTTATTTACAAATGTATAGTTTTCAGATGTTACTTCAAATTTCAAAGGTATAGGTCAACAGGAAGTACCCAATGAATTTTGATTTGATTTTGATTTTGATTATCGAAATATATATTTTTTCGGCATAAACGGCCGTATTTTTTTTTAGGATAACTTAGGAGTTTGATTATTTTACAGTTCCAAGGGACCGTAGACCTGAGGTGGGACCTGGGTTTTAATTTCAACTCGATACCTCGACGCGTTCCCGAGATAAAGGGTCTTGATAGACAGACAGACGAACAACAATGTGATCCTATAAGGGTTCCGTTTTTTCGTTTTGAGGTACGGAACCCTAGAAACTAGTCAAAACTCTTTTGTCTCGTAATGTTACGCGTTACGCAGGCCACAAACAAAATCGGAAACAAGCTAATTCCTATTGAACAAAAACATAAAGTCCAACTGTGTAAAAAAGGTACACTTAAAATTAACAAACTGGTAATTTTTATAGTTTTCATATACTCTCACGATTAAAAGAATCTAGCAACATCTCAAACATCAAATTCCATAAAGCCGTTTAAACTACAGAGCGTGCTAAATAAATATACATAATTATGTATACACACACACACGAAGAATATTTTACGGTTTAACGAGATCAGGCAGATGATGATGAAGCGACTTACTTTTGTCAAAAGTAGCTGGAAGAAGCCTTACAAAGGGTGTATGCGTAGCGCCTCTTGTAGGATGCCTTAGGTTATTGCAGGAACCGTCGACCCGCCGTCCTTCTGAAGGGTTGCATGGTTCGATCTCATTCACGCACCAACTACAAAAGGCAGTTCAGTATTGAAATGCGTTATTGCTTATTTTCGCTTTGCTATTGTTTCAGTAAAAACAAGAATAATGTTTTCACGCATCTCACACACGGCCGTCTGATCCCAAACTAGGCAGAGCCTGTACTATGGTAACCAGACTGTTGATAAACATACTTATATATTTCCAAGTACATACATATTATTGATAAACTACGCCCAGACACTGAACAAATGATTGTGCAAATTCTACAATTCAGTGTCTTTATTGTGAATGTATCTCCCTGTGTATCTATCTAAATATTGGATGTATATTATTTAAGGTTTTCATGACTGTTTTAGATAAAACAAGATGACAAATATGTGATCAATTTTAATACAATGTATATATAATCGTACAATATTTTTTAATTCCATAATTTTGTTAAAATAGTTATATATCGCAAAAAAAAATAACTTGTTTATCGGTCAGCAAAATATAGATAAAATTTCAATTTTAAAATAAAAAAACATAGGTTTTTTTTCCCAAATTCATGTTAATAATAAATTAGTTTTATCTTAATGAATATTTTACTAGTAAATGTAATAAAAAAACTAAAAATAAAGGTATTTTTGTTACTCCCTATTTTTAAGAATTCCTATTGAGTTTACACAGAAGTAGTATAATAAGTACTTAGATGTATGTAGGTATATGAATATGCAACAACTGATCCCCATAAGAACGTCAAAGTATGGCATGGGACTCTAGCTTTTGTACACTTTTAAATTCCAAGAAGAAACACACATCATTTTAAATTAAATATTAAAAAGGTACAACTTTATATGTAACTGTAATATACACACACATGTCATTAATATGTGCTTAGTTCTAGTATACAAAAAATCTAAAATATCGTATTTAAGTTCTTATATTAAACTTGAAAGCTTCAGCTTAAAATTATATACATATATGTCTCATGTTCAAAAAATACAAAAAAAAACTTACAATGTTGTATTCGCTTTATCGTGCCTTTTCACATCTTCCCTCGTAATCTCTGTTCCTCTATACGAGTCATAAAATAACGCGCTGTGCACACCACAAACCAACCCAAGCAAATATATTAGCAACATACTAGATGTGCGCACTCATTGAGATATGAAACCAAAATAAGCCAAGAAACAATTCTGTAATACATTTGCTTTGTTTTAACAACGCTAGTATGAAAGTTTAATTATCTGCGGGTTAGTTTGCAAGGACGAAGGAACTTTACGGCAGTCTGGTAGGTCATGACGTTATTCACGAATTGTACTAATCTTATGTTGTTATAATTGCAATCATTTTCTTTTCGTAAAATAAAGTAAATGTGTTTATGACTAAAGTGAAAGTATAAGAAATAGTTGTAGTTTTTGTGACTAGATGGCGTGCCACCTACATGGATCGCGTTGTGATTGTTTGGTAACCAAAGTCTATAAGCATGAGGAATTTCGAAAGGATAATAAAAAGTTAGATTCAGTCTTTGTATTTGCTCCGTGGATTCAGTAGATTGGTGCACTGTGGTTTCATTTGTATTCCTACTAGTGTACACAAAAGTTTTTAGTTCATTACACTGTATCTGGAAAAATCTGACACAAAGGGTGATCGAGATATGATATGTAGCTTTTAGCTTTATCACTAAACCATTACTAAATATTTTGCCTCACATCTCTTGTGAAACTAGATTTATTTTCTTTACATACAATAAATGTTTATCATTCAACTGACATTATCAGCAGATAATATATACCTAAATAAATTAGTGTCCGGTAGTCTAGCACCTTGTAATAATATAACTCATATAAAAACAATAAATTTACATCTTAAACGAGTGTTTTATTTTTTATTTTATTTAATGTTCAGTCAAAACTAGCAGAGCATAAACTAGTCAAACCAGTACACCAAATAAAATTAGATATTCAAACACAAGAAAATGAATGAGTCAGCTTTAAATATAGATTATGTGGATTATTAGCAGTCGTCACCACTGTCTTTATTACCATTGGTGACAAATAGGAAAAAGAAATTCCCCATGTGGCCAGTGGTGACAAAAGGCATAAGATATTCCCAGTTGTATTCACTGGCTTCGTTCCCACTGGTGACAAATGGGGAAGAAATTCCTATATGTTGCCAGTAGTGATAAGTGTTATAAGAGTCGTCTTTGGACACACGTCACTTCAGAAGGAAACGCGTTAGAGAAATGATACAACGCTTACGTAGACAATGATTTAGACCTGTATTATCAATGTATAGGAAAAGAAAAAAATAAGGTTATTACTACAGTAAAAGAGTGCCTTCACATCACATCAACAGCCTTGAATAATCCACTGCTGGATATAGGCCTCCTAACATATAAACCTCCTTTCTAAGGAGAGGCCTATAAGAGTGCCTTAGGTGGGATATAACGATAAAAACTGAGAATTCAAAATCACTCCTCTGCTCATTTGTTAAAACATATAATAAGCTTTTTGATATCTTCAGATGTAACTTGAATTTTAAAGATTAGGATGATTAAGGGCGAGGCAATACAAGAAAGTCCGTGTGGCAACGGATTAAGAATACAGAGTGTCACCACCCCTATTCATCCCGTGGGCAAAACTACGCAGCAAACTACGCAGAACAACAGCACTGCAGAGAGAAGGAAAACTTGAACCAAATCCGTCTGGCCAGCGTGGTATAGTAGACCAAAACCTCCTTTCTAAGAAGAGGCTGCTGATTTGTTAAAATATATAATAATCTTTTACAATAATCAAAACAATAATCTTTTTGATATACTAAGTCTTTAAAATTCTTTAAAACCTTAATCTTTAAAATTCGAGTTACATAACTCGAATTTTAAAGATTAAGGTGATTAAGGGCTAGGTAATTCAAGAAAAGAAATGTATGTCCGGGTCTTGCAAATCATATTATTTAATAGTTGACCTATTTTATTTATATTGCTTTCATACGATACAACTATTTTTGCCAAAGTAAAATTGGACAAGATAATACGTTTATTAAACATCAGCGAGACGTATTATCTAATTCGATAGATACTATGATTGGTAGAAGTTGTATAAAAAGTCTAATGGCCGTTAGAATGCTTTTTTTAGAATTTCGTAAAGCGCTGTTCCTATACCTCTTAATATATTCTGATTCCTCTACTTATTAAGGAACATAGGACAGAACATAGTTTAGTGTCTAGTGAATAATACAAATTTTGTAAATAAGTTTTGTAAACATTTATTGATGCCAAATAATTAGTCGCATCCTGTTGACTGTAAGTCTAACAATCTAATAACGTTTCATTTCTATTTTGCCTTTTGAAATTTATGAAATACAGAAAAAAAATGATACATAAAATTTGACGAGCATTAACTTGTAATAACAAGGCTATATTTTTATTTTTGGTTCTCCTAGACTAGCAAATTGGATGAAGATCTGTTGTAGACTCGGAATTTCCTATTAAGTGACTAAATTGTTATAGAGATTAGTGACATAAATTTGTTCTAGATTGCATGATAAATTCTAGGTGATTTAATATAAAACTGTGAAGGAATTCTTCTTCAGCCTATTGCCGTCGACTGCTGAAGGCCTCCCTAAAGAGCGCAAACCAACTCGGTCTTGGGCAGTTCGCATCCATCCATTGCCAGCAATTTTCCTCAAGTCGTCTATCCATTGTGCGGCAGGGCGCCCTTCACTATGTTTGCCTAATCGCGGTCTCCACTCTAGCATACATAGCGATACTCAGTCCGCCTGCATACATGACCGGTCCACTTCCACTTCAGCGTACTGTACTCTGTCGAATAACTTCGTTACGAATTTTATCGACTAGACTCTAGTCGATAAAATTCGTGGCGTACGTGTTTCTCTAGTCACTAGAGAAACACGCACGCCCCATCGCACGCTGAGCGACTTTAAACTTGTGGACCAGTCCAACGGTAAGTGTCCACGTCTCTTGGATCCTTGGATTTTAGCGATTAGGAGATCAGCAACTTCAAGATATGACGAAGTTTCCCATATGCCGCCCAGCCCAATTCTTCTATCGGCCTCCTGATCTAAATTGTACCGGCCGAGTTGAAACGTGAAGGAAGATATAATTAATACTTGAATAATTAGAAATTAATTTATTTTTTATTTTTAAGGAAGGAATATAATTATGTAATAATTATGTTTAATTTTTAGATACTTTATTATATTTAACTTAGTTTACAAATTTTAAATAAAGGTTGTTGTTTTACAATTTACGCAACAATTACGAAACCTTTGTTAATTCTGAAGGAAAAAACCTAGTAATACTTATTGAAATTAAAAAAAAACTGAAACCTTGGCAATTAGGCAAGATTTTACGAAATAATACAAGGATTTATAAAAAAATAATTGCTTAGTCAAAGTTTTTCTGATACTTGATGTTTATGATAAACATTATTTGGGTATTTTATTACAGTACCATGTAGATAAATGCTTTCTAAGCTGTCGTGTAAATTCCTCTTTTATTACTCTTGATCTGTTCGATGTTCCAGTAGTTAGTTATCTTGGATCACAGGTGGAACCTGAACCAAGTTCCACCTGTGACCCATAATTGTGTGACGAGCACGATAATTTTCTTTAAATCAGAGTGTAACTTATCTTTAATATGTATATATAGTCAAAGTCCAAGAATTTTATAAGAAAAAGCTAGCAGAAATATCCTCATGATCTCGTCACTTCAGATATTATTGTTGCATATATTTTATTCTGCATGTATATGACATAAATATGTATGTGTGTATTCGTCTATGTACATTTAAATAGCACTATTAATTGTAATTTTTTTTTTGTAGTTTTAGTAATTTTTCATTTTTTTTAGTAATTTTCGTAGTACATATGCACCTGCCATGTCCTTTTTACATATATATACAAATTACAAACTTTAAATATCATATATATATGTTTACCAGCAATCTGATTACCAATACAGAAACCTGTACTTCGCACAGGGTTCCGTAGTGGAATGTTATTTTGCTCAGACTTAGGTTTCCTCTACGGCATATGACTGCTTTGTATGTACTGCTATTACCTATTCGCTAGTAATATATTACGTAAGTGGATGTAAAAAGTAGTTAGCATTTAGTGGAATTAAAATACGCTCTGTATAACCCTTCTGGGTTAAAGGCGTGAGTATTTGTGTGTATTTATGTTTATGCAAATTACAGATTAGTGTTAAGCGTTCAAAGTCCAAATAGTAAACACAATAAAATCTACGATGTTCAATCAAGTAACCTACTGTCCTACTTTATTACTGACTTTGTTGTATCGTGTGATTCAGTTTTAATAACGATTATGCCCTCATTAATGTACCTAATCGTACTACTCCACTGTTTAAATTAAATGATACTCTTGCTTCAAACGCAGATTGTCATACAGACAACACAGCTTCAACACAGACATATACTTACAGTCCATAGGTTGTTTAGTAGTGGGTTAGAAATGGAATGTACTTAAAGTCTTTTTTTTTTTTATTTTTTATTTTTTTTTAATACTAGCACCTCCAATATTTAGATTTTGGAGTCGTTATCCATCCATATCTTGTCATAACTTCTCGCTTTTCTTATTCTTGCATCCGTGTTCTTTCTCAATCTCATACCTGGGAGCTCTGCTATTTGCTGCAGGGTTTCTTTATTGTTTATTTATATATTACTTATTAAAATTTATAGAGTTTACATTTGTTTACATGTTATACTATTTTGTTTTCTAATTAATTCTTAAACTTATATATATTATTTCTTAAGCTATTTAATATTTTAGTTTTGTACTGTACTACTTGCTATCTATATTGCTATGTTTGTTTATGATGAACAATAATAATCTTATATTATTTTGTTATCATTTATATTAATATGCCTTATTTCTTTTATTGACTATTTTAACAATTTCTGTACAATATTTTAAAAATTTGTTTCTGTTCTTACTGGTTATTATTTGGCTAAGATTTTCTCTTGTGATTTTTACGTTTAGTTCTTGCTCTATGTTATACCTCCTAGTGTCAAAGGCAGGGCAATCCACAATTAGGTGAGGGACAGTGTCCTGCACATCAGGATCACAGATGCACGATGAGTTTTCCTTACACTTGAATCGT